GACTTTTTAATGACTTTGAAGGCTGACCTTTGGACACATGGGTCTATTACAAGAAAACATTCATAACCACCGACTTGCTCTATACTTCAATTTAATTATCCTTTGATGATATACCCTCACAGAACAATTCAGCAAATACTTCTTCTCATGTCGTGTAACTTTATTATTTAATCTCATCCTCTTTGTATTAAGCTTATAAACATTCTTTATAACTCCGGCTAACCTTCACATAACGACGTAGCCAAGAGGACTTCGGTATGCTTGGATGAATACGCTCATAAACAAATTCCTTCAGTTTTCTGCCCTTTCTTCTCGGACTTTCCAGAGTAGCTTCTGGTATTCTACTGGGGGAAAGAGTTCCGTATAACCCCATAAATTAACTATGCATTCCATTTCACTCAGACTAAATATAAATGTTTTTTCGCAATACTCTATGCATAATTAATGTATGTATGAGGGTATGTGGAACTCTTGACCCACTGGGTTCTCGATCACGTCTAAATACACACTTGTGTTTACATGTAAACATAATATGAGATAGCTCGTTTGATATGGCAGGTTTCGCTTGATATTTCTCGGTTCACTTGTAAAGGATCGCTCGTAAATTGTTCTCTCGTAGAGTTCGCGGACCGATCTGTTCCCAAAACGCTCCACAAGTTTTACTGTGGATCTACCGCAAACGCTGTATGCATGCGTTGTAGTGGAACTGCGTTTTGTGACTGAACACACACACACAAAAAAAAGAAACCAAGCCGAATTTGTACCTCGGGCGTTTCCTTCGGAAAGCTCGAGTATCAAATTCTTATTCGTCAGAAGGGAGCCCTTAGCTTTGTTTGTTGTACTTCGCAAACTGGCATGGCCTTGCAATTTCTTCATTTTTTAAAGCAAACGTGCTTCCGATAACGTTTCTTTATCACGCGTCCGTATCAACCCTAACGCACGATATCAATAATAATAAAGCCGCAGCAAACATACTAAATCTATTTCAGCCGTCTAATATTCATTCATACAAAATACGATCGTTTACGTCTGAAAAGTTTTATGTTAAAAGTTCGAGACTAGAAATACAAAACAACTCCTTCTGTCGGATCGGAGTAAGCTGTGGAATAAGATACCAAGCTGTATAACGGATTTCCCAAAGAAAGCTTTCAAAAACGTCCTTCGCAGATTGCTATTTGATATCTTAATTAGAAAAAGAAGATAACTATATTCAAATCCCCATGATCATTAAAAAAGTAGGTACATAGATACACCTTTTAAGTTTAAACTCTTCTTATCTTTTTCAGCTGTGTCTCTGTGACTGTGTGACTGTGTCAATAACCACTCTTTGTCCTTAGATTAGCTTTCTAGCTATTTGCGGGGCAAACCATCCCACTTTTATTTTATGTAAAAAGATCAAAGAACTAGAATAAAAATTGTTCTTGTTGTTGTTGTAATTGTTGTCCACGAAGGCAGCCATTGCTTTAAGCCACGCGTTCTACGGTTCATTCTACACATGGGCTTACTCTTCACATATGCGCTGAAGTGGAACTGCGTTTTTGACTAAACGAAAAAGAAAAAAAACAAAAACAAAAAAAAAAAGAGGCCGAATTTATACCTCGGGCGTCTTCTTTCGGAAAGCCCGAGTAATTAATTTGCACTTGTATTGATATTCGGTGAAAATAAATGTACTTTCTGCAATTGTTTTCAGGAGCGGTGTCTGTTACGGCCCCAGTGTATATTTCTGAAATTGCGCCATGGCGTATAAGAGGTCGTCTAGTCAGCCACCTGTTGTAGTCTGCCTGTTCAATTCTCCATAAAAGGAAATGGGAACGTTAATCCCTGGACGCGAGTTCTGCTATCAAAGCCGGGCGTGATGAAAAAGACATGAGTCGTTCATCTCGATCCAAAATTACGAGATTTCAACCGACTTTTGATGAATTTAACAAAACCGAAACATAATCTTGGGTCGGTAACCTTAAAAAAAATATTTGGTAACACGCAAATTAAAAAAGAACAAGACTGCTCTGCTACAAAGTGCGACTTATCCTGTTGTTTTTGTTTTTAAAGTATATTCCAGTATTTTTTTTTATTTTTTAACCCCTTCACTCCCGAGATCTCATCAGCAATTCTCCTTACTGTCTCCCATAGAATTCTTATGATGATAATTTTGAGAATTAGGTTTTGGATTAACTAATAATCCTTAACTCACCGTTGAACCTCAGGGCATTAAGTATTCCACTCTCAGGTCTTAGGTACACTAGGGAGAGAGGCGAAGGGCGGGCTTCAACCCTGAATCAAATATTAAGGTCACGAGGAGGAAGAAAGTGATCACCAACTAAAGACGCTAGCGCTCCTTATTTTTAAAGAAATCCTCCTTGCAAGCACCATAGGGAACCTTAAGAGAACAGTATGAAGAATATGCATACTGATGTAAAGAATATGAAGGGAAAAACAGAGAGGATCCGGTGCAGGGCCAGTTTCATTTGATCGTTTATTGAAAAAAAATCTTCCGGTGGCTGCTTTACAAGCCAGAACCCCTTAACTGGGACCAGACACAACCATTTCCACAGTACCTTTTGATTCGATTTCTATCTTGCGTTTTACCCAAAAATTTTTGATTGAAAAACGATAAAGCGGGAATGATAAATGAAATTTTCCCAAAGTGTTTGCGTTATAAATCAAAATTGAATATTAAAGATCATGTGAGAAAAATTTGAGCACGAATACTGAAGCATTTTGGTTTAATTAAAAACATAAGTTGTCAGCAGTTATCTTTATAGTTTAAAGCAGGAGTGAATCAGTTTTGTTTACTGAACTTACCTGCTTTTGGAGGTGTTCTGAAGCGCACAGTAAAGAAAGATGGAAGGACCAGCAATAGCAACAGCATCTTTTAGCATAGAGAGCGAAAAGTAATTTTTGCTCGAGAAAATTCAGATTTTCGCTACCCGCGATACCCTTACCTTTTAACTACATTTGCAGCCTTCGGCGGATTTCTTTTCGGACGTAGCACTGGTGTTGTATCTGGTGCAATCAATTATTCTGATAGATGAACGCTTTCGTTTGACTTTTTTCTGGTACGAGCTCATTGTGAGCGGAACCATCGCTGCTTGTATTCCAAGCGCTTTAGCTAGAGATGTTCTCAGTCGACGCTTCGGAAAAAGAATTATACTTTTGATCTCATCAATCGTTTTCACTGCTGTAATGTTTTGATAGTATTGTTTACCGGAAGTTGTGTTAGCAAAAGTTCTCGGACATTATAAACATGCAAAGGATCATGGATAGTTGTGTGAGCCATGCTTTCCGGTTGGCACGATCATAGCGGCTGAATAAAGTGTAGTTTCTTTTTATAGTTAAATCTGGTTTATTACACGGCCATCCGGGTGACATCATTACAACTACCGGGGCGTTAATGATGGAAATTGCTCATTTGAAAGAGATTATTTTCGTTGGAAGAGTTATTGTGGGCTTCGGAATAGGTTAATAGCTATGTTAAATATTGAAGAAGCTTATTATGCTTTGCGCTCTTTCACTAGAGAGAGTATGGCGCGACCATGTGACAATGTAAGGGCCTGTTCGCACTACGTGCAATTTTATTTGTTTTGCAAAAACATCTGTCAACGTGAAACAACTTCAGTGCGAACGATTTTTTTGACCCACCAAAATTTTCGCAAAAGCCGCCAAACTTCAAAGATGCCGTCAACAACTTTTGGGGGCCTACAATTTTTTTTCGGGCGAGAAAATCTATTGTCCCTTGACAGATACCCTTCAACTGGTCATTATACTTTCGTAATTGAACGTCGCGTTTGTAAGTTGTCGAATGACTCTCTACCCATTCTCAAATGTCTACGGAAAAAGGCTTCAGGATTGTACAAGTCGAAGGCGGCGTTGACGTTTGTTGAGCAAGTGAGTTAAAGTCTCCATGATTGGTAGAGGCCGAATCCTTTCCAACAAAACCAAAAGTATATTATTGACTAGCCACAATAGTAAGTAAGTAAGTAAGGACTTTATTTATAGAGGGGGACACGTAACAGCTGAAAAGCTGACAAACCTGTGGCCCTCTAACTAGATTATACAGCTATTATACAGCTTTGGTTCCCGAACAACGGCTCGTAATCAAGCCTAGAATTTTCACTCTATGATTTTAATCACTTAACCATATATCTGGTTCAGCTCAATTACTCCACGATACACACTCAAATTCTCAAATGGCAACATTCTAGATTATAATCAGGTTTTGCATGGCAAGCAAGCAGCAAAGAAGGGCGATTAAACATTTCGCGGGCGCATTTTGCTTTGCGATCAGTCCTTGATCAGAAACGACATAAAGGAAAACGCACTGTCACGAGATCTCGGTATATTTTTCGATTGCTTAACATTTGTGGTTGCCCAAATAATTTGCACGTCTCAAGTGCGAACGCTGTTACAAAAACAGAAAATTCGTCGTTACAAAATTTTCAATTTTTTCGCAAAGGCCAAACCAAATTTTTCGGTGTAGTGCGAACAGGGCCTAATGCTAAGTGACTATCAACGTTTGCCTTGCGAAGACAGCTTTATTTCTTTCAAGCTTTATTTATTGTTTCTTCATTATTAGGGATAGCCTGATCCCTGTGACTAAAACATAACTCGCTTGGGGTAAACTCGGGCAGTACCCAGGCTTGTGAGTCAGACTTGACCCTTCTAAAAATAAAAAATTTTACCATTACTGGTGAGCTTCTGGTCAAAAAAGTTGACGTAATACCTCCTAACCATCTCTGAGATGTATTAGAAAGAAAATAACACCAACAAGTCGTATCAAATCATATTTCCCTTCGGTAGATTCATGTTTGGTTTAGGAACAGTCCCGTCAGCCATCATGTTCTTGGGTTGTCTGTGGCTTCCAGAAAGTCCCAGTTGGCTTGTCAGCAGGGGTGCCTGTGAAGATGCAAGGGAAGTTCTTGTAAGACTTAGAGGAACAATAGATGTGAACGAGGAGCTACAAGCTATAGAGACCGTCTGTAAAGA